AACAATTATAAATATTTACACACCAGACATAGGAGCACCTCAATACATAAGGCAAAGGCTAACAGCTATAAAAGGGGAAATTGACAGTAACACAATAACAGTAGGGGACTTTAACACCCCACTTACACCAATGGACAGATCATCCAAACAGAAAATAAATAAGGAAACACAAGCTTTAAATGACACAACAGACCAGATAGATTTAATTGATATTTATAGGACATTCCACCCAAAAGTGGCAGAATACACTTTCTTCTCAAGTGCACATGGAACATTCTCCAGGATAGAGACCCACGTCTTGGGTCACAAATCAAGCCTCAGAAAATTTAAGAGAATTAAAATTGTATCAAGAATGTTTTCTGATCACAATGCTATGAGACGGGAAACCAATTACAGGAAAAAAACTGTAAAAAACACAAATACATGGAGGCTAAACAGTGTACTACTAAATAACCAAGGTATCACTGAAGAAATCAAAGAAGAAATTTTTAAAAAATACATAGAAACAAATGACAACAAGAACACGACAACCCAAAACCTATGGGATGCAGCAAAACCAGTTCTAAGAGGGTAGCTTATAGCAATTCAATCTCACCTCAAGAAACAAGAAAAATCTCAAATAAACAATCTAACCTTACACCTAAAGCAACTAGAGAACAAGAAACAAAGAAAACCCAAAGTCAGTAGAAAGAAAGAAATCATAAATATCAGAGCAGAAATAAATGAAATAGAAATGAAGAAAACAATAGCAAAGATCAATAAAACTAAAAGTTGGTTCTTTGAGAGGATAAACAAAATTGATAAACCTTTAGCCAGACTCATCAAGAAAGAAAGAGAGAGGACACAAATCCGTAAAATTAGAAATGAAAAAGGAGAAATCACAACTGACACCGCAGAAATACAAAGGATTATAAGAGACTACTACAAACAACTATATGCCAATATTCTTGGAAAGGTACAATTTTCCAAGACTGAACCAGGAAGAATTAGAAAATATAAACAGACTTATCACAAGTAATTAAATTGAAACTGTAATTAAAAATCTTCCAACAAACAATAGTCCAGGACCAGATGCTTCACATTCACATTCAAATTCTATCAACCATTTAGAGACAATACCGATCCTTCTCAAACTCTTCCAAAAAATTGCAGAGGTAGGAACACTCCCAAATTCGTTCTACAAAAGTGACCATCACCCTGATACCAAAACCAGACAAAGATACTACAAAAAAAGAAAATTACAGACCAATATCCCTGATGAACATAGATGCAAAAATCCTCAATGAAATACTAGCAAACAGAATCCAACAGCACATTAAAAGGATCATACACCATATCAAGTGGGATTTATCCCAGGAATGCAAGGGTTCTTCAATATACGCAAATCAATCAATGTGAAACACCATATTAACAAATTAAGGAATAAAAATCATATGATCATCTCAATAGATGCAGAAAAAGCTTTTGACAAAATTCAACAACCATTTATGATAAAAACTCTCTCCAGAAAATGGGCATAGAGGGAACCTACCTCAACATAATAAAGGCCATATATGACAAACCCACAGCAAAAATCATGCTCAGTGTTGAAAAACTGAAAGCATTTCCACTAAGATCAGGAACAAGACAAGGATGTCCACTCTCACCACTCTTATTCAAAGTTTTGGAAGTTCTAGCCACAGAAATAAGAGAAGAAAAAGAAATAAAAGGAATGCAAATTGGAAAAGAAGAAGTAAAACTGTCACTGCAGATGAAATGATACTATACATAGAAAATCCTAAAGATGCCACCAGAAAACTACTAGAACTAATCAATAAATTTGGTAAGGTTGCAGGATACAAAATTAATGCACAGAAATCTCTTGAATTCCTATACACTAACAATGAAAAATCAGAAAGAGAAATCAAGGAAACAATCCCATTAACCATCACAAAAAAACGAATAAAATACCTAGGAATAAACCTCCTAAGGAGGTAAAAGACTTGTACTTAGAAAACTATAAAACACTGATGACAGAAATCAAAGATGACATAAACAGATGGAGAAATATACTATACCATGTTCTTGGACTGAAAGAATCAATATTGTGAAAATGACTATACTACCCAAAGCAATCTACAGATTCAGTGCAATCCCTATCAAACTACCAATGGCATTCTTCACAGAATTAGAACAAAAAAATCTTAAAATTTGTATGGAGACACAAAAGACCCTGAATAGCCAAAGCAATCTTGAGAAAGAAAAACAGAGCTGGAGGAATCAGGCAACCTGGCTGCAAACAATACTACAAAGCTACAGTAATCAAGACATTATGGTATTGTCACAAAAACAGAAATATAGATCCATGGTACAGGATAGAAAGCCCAGAGATAAACCCATGCATATATGGTCACCTAATCTATGACAAAGGAGGTGAGAACATACAATGGAGCAAAGACAGACTCTTCAATAAGTGGTGCTGGGAAAGCTGAACAGCTACATGTAAAAGAATGAAATTAGAACATTCGCTAACACCATACACAAAAATAAACTCCAAATGGATTAAAGACCTAAATGCAAGACCGGACACTATAAAACTCTTAGAGGAAATCATAGGAAAAACACTCTCTGACATAAACCACAGCAAGATCTTTTTTGACCCACCTCCTAGAGTAATGAAAATAAAAACATAAAAATAAACAAATGGGACCTGACGAAACTTAAAAGCTTTTGCACAGCAAAGGAAACCATAAACAAGACAAAAAGACAACCCTCAGCATGGAAGAAAATATTTGCAAATGAAGCAATGGACAAAGGATTAATCTCCAAAATATACAAACAGCTCATGAGCTCAATATCAAAAAAACAAACAACCCAATTAAAAAATGGGTGGAAGACCTAAAGAGACATTTCACCAAAGAAGACATACAGATGGCCAAGAGGCACATGAAAAGATGCTCAACATCACTAATCATTAGAGAAATGCAAATCAAAACTACAATGAGGTATCACCTCACATCGGTCAGAACAGCCATCATCAAAAAATCTACAAACGATGAATGCTGGAGAGGGTGTGGAGAAAAGGGAATACTCTTGCACTGCTGGTGGGAATGTGAATTGGTACAGCCACTATGGAGAACAGTATGGAGGTTCCTTAAAAAACTAAAACTAGAACTACCATATGACCCAGCAATCCCACTACTGGGCATATACCCTGAGAAAACCATAATTCAAAAGGACACATGTACCCCAATCTTCATTTCAGCACTGTTTACAATAGCCAGGACATGGAAACAACCTAAATGTCCAACGATAGATAAATGGATAAAGAAGATGTGGTACATATATACAATGGAATATTACTCAGCCATAAAAAGGGATGAAATTGGGTCACTTGTAGAGATGTGGATGGACGTAGAGTCTGTCATAGAGTGAAGTAAGCCAGAAAGAGAAAAACAAATACTGTATATTAATGCATATATGTGGAATCTAGAAAAATAGTACAGATGAACCTATTTGTGGGGCAGGAATAGAGATGTAGACGTAGAGAATGGACACGTGGACACAGCGGGGTAAGGGGAGGGTGGGACGAATTGGGACATCAGGATTGACATATATACACTACCATGTGTAAAACAGAGAGCTAGTGGGAACCTGCTGTATAGCACAGGGAGCTCAGCTCAGTGCTCTGTGATGACCTACATGGGGGGGAAACGGGGGGAGGGAGTTGCAAGACGGAGGGGATATATGTAGGCATATAGCTGATTCACTTCATTGTACAGCAGAAACTAACACAACATTGTAAAGCAATTTTACTCCAATTAAAAAAAAAACCGGTAATATCCCATTTTATAATTTTAAGATGGTACCGTCATATTTAAGAGAATTCTTCTATTCTAACCACTGTACATAAATTAAATATTCCCGATGGATTTACAGGTTCCGGTCAGTTCGGCTCAGCCCAGTGGAGCTGGCCTTGCGGGAGGCTGCTGCTGACCCGGGCAGTGGAGCGGACTCCGGGGCTCCGGGGCGGGTCCCGTGTGGCGGTCTGCGCAACCAGGTCTCGGTCTCTCGGGGGAGGGGGGGCGGGGAGCTGGATGCGGGGCTGGGGAGCGTCGCCTGCACGGGGGTCGCCCTCTCTGGCCTCTGCTTTCCACTGTTCACTTCCACCCGTTTGAGACTCTGTTGGTTCCCTGGGAATTGACACGACACGACACGACACTCTCATTTGCTGTTTCCCGGGACCGGTCGCGCGGAAGGAGCAAAGGCCTCGGCGGGCGGGTCCGCGAGTCTAGAGGATGGAGCCCAAACCTGGGTGGAGGAGACCCTGGACTGGACCCGCGAGAAACCCCCGGGGAGCCGCTGGGGTGGGGGGCTGCCGCGAGGGGCTCCCACGAAGGTCACCCACGGGAGGCACCCACTGGACACCGTCCAGGTGAGCGCCCGGACCCCCCCCGCGACACCACCCGACCCCTCTTCACCCCGCGGCGCTGGACACGAGGCGTGCCGGGCGCCGAGCTCCAGTGGCGCAGGAGGCGAGCGCAGGGGGCCCGCATGGACCCCACGGTGGGCCGTCAAGGCCCGACGCCTCCGTGCCCGCAGGTCGCGTCGCCCGGTTCCTGGTCCTTGGCGGGATCTGGGCAGCGCCGCAGTTCTGAGGTGTAGGCAGGGCGCAGCATCCTAAGAGGACGATGGGAAGTTCAGGGATTCATGAGAAACTCGGTGAACAGCGCCGGGTGCTGGCCTGCTGAGGGTGCCCCAGGCCCTAGGAGCCTGACTGTTCTCTGCCTGGTCCCAGTTCTGGGGTGAAACCATCCCATCGCTGGCGAAGCAGCAGACACATGTGGCCCAGAGAGAACAAACCTGCCCCCCACTGAACGCTCACCTGTCACTGTGTCAGTGACACTGGGTGTAGGCAAAGGCCGTCACCCCAGAATTCTCCTGTCCTTAAATCCCTGTAACTGTACAATTAAGAGAATTTATACATTTGCATCATCTTTAGACAAAACTAATTTTTAATAATAAAGCATAGTGCAAATGTGTCTGAACAGACATCCCAACATTACCAGCGGAAGTCCAACAAAGTATCAAAGAAACACAGGTGGGAGGTCATTTCAGCAGTCAGTCCTTTAATTTAAACCTGTGAATATGTCATTTTATGTATGACTAAGAAAACTGTTCATTAAATGCATTTTTATTTGGGTTGTTTAAAAATCTAGTAATAAATGTTACAATATTTTAAAGCTGCTCTGAAAATCAGTAGAAATATTCTTGGAAAAGAGCATCCTACCTGGCTCTCTGTTGCCTTTGAAGTTCAGTATACACTAAAATGTCTGCTGTTTCCATTCAAAAATAGTAATTTATTTATGGCATATTGAAGTGACATTCTTGAAAAATGAACTCTGGACAGACACACGCCTTCTATCTACACGAATGTACACCCATCAGCTGTAACATCGGGGTCACCACACGGCTTCCTCGCGGCACCCCATGACCTACAGGGCTTCCCGCAGCAGCAGCCGCAGCCTCTGCAGCTCGTCGCCCACCGGGGCCACCCACTCCCGCCGCAAGTACTGGACGTCCACGTCGCCTGAGGCTCTGGCCAGCACCAGGGCCAGGAAGCCACTGCGGGTCTTCTCTGCTTCACCCACGACAGTCATGGCCACCAGCCTGAAATCGAGAAGCACATGCCGTGTGATCCTGAGTCTGCCGATTACCCACCTTCCCAGGGGGGAGCAGGAAGAGGAAAAACGCTGTAAACACAGGGGGGAGGAGCTCCTTGGCATCAGCCTGGGGATGACTTTGGATCTGGCTCCAAAAGCAAAGGCAACAGAAGCAAACAGGTGGGACTACGAAGCAGCTTCTGCACAGCAAAAGAAACCAGAAACAAAATGAAAGGGCAACCTACAGAATGGGAGAAAGTATTTGCCAATCATACATCTGTTAGGGGGTTAATAACCAAAACATAAAGATCTCATATAACTCAATAGCAGAAAAACCAAGCAATCCAATTACAAAATGGGCAGAAGATCTAAACAGAAATTTTTCCAAAGAAGACACACAGATGGCCAACAGACAAGTGAAAAGATGCTCAACATCATTAATCACCAGGGAAATGCAAATCAAAACCACAATGAGCTATCACCTCACACCTGTCAGAATGGCCATCATCAAAAAGATAAGAAATAACAAATGCTGGAGAGGGTGTGGAGAAAAGGGAGCCCTCCTGCACTGCTGGTGGGAATGTAAATTGGTGCAGACACAATGGAGAACAGTGTGGAGGTTTCTCAAGAATTAAAAATAGAGCCAACATACAATCCAGCAATTCCACTCCTGGGTATTTATCCAAAGAAAATGAAGCCACTATCTCGAAGAGATATCTGCACTCCCATGTCCAGTGCAGCATTATTCACAAGAGCCAAGACATGGAAACAACCTAAGTGTCCATCAAGGGATGAATGGATAAAGAATATGTTTTGTGTATATATATATATATATATATATATATATATATATATATATCCATATACATGTCGAATATTATTCAGCCATAAAAAAGGAAATCCATTTGTGACAACATGGATGGACCTTGAGGGCATTACGCTAAGTGAAATAAGTTAGAGAAGGACAAACACCGTGTGATCTCACTTCTGTGTGAAACCCCACCTCCACCCTGCACACATACACACACAAAACAGGCTCACAGACAGAGAACAGCCTGGTGGTTGCCAAAGGAAGGGGGTGGGGTGTGGACCAAACGGGCAAAGGGGTATAAGCTTCCAGTTATAAAATGAACAAGCCATGGGACGCAGTGTACACATGGCAACTATGGTTAATAACACTGTATTGCATATTTGAAAGTTGATGAGAGTAAATATTAAAAGTTCTCATCACAAGAAAAAGCTTCTGGAACTATGTAAGGTGACAGACGTATCATAAGACACTATATGCAAACTTCGCATCATTATGTTGTGCACCTGAAACCAGTATGTTTTACATCAGTTATACCTCAATATAAATAAATGAATGACAGATAATATAATTCTTTGATCCTTAGACTATTTTGGACTAAATATGAAACAAACACACTTTAAAGTGGTTTTTCAAGATCTTACTCAAATATATAAATATAAAACTAATATTTAAATATAAATAACCATACTTTAAAGTGTGGTGGCCTTATACATAAATCAAGTAAGAAAGACCATCAGTGATGCGTCTGCAAAAAAACACCTAGGAGAGCTCATCCTGAGTTTCATCAGACTTACCTGTCCGGATAGACGGGCTGTTTGGCGACAGGACCCAAATCGCTCTCCAGGAGGTCCCAAATATACACACAGGATGTGTCGTCCTGGACCAGGAACACAGCCGGTCTCGTCGAGGACCACTGCAGGCCAATGACGGCGCGGCCGTGGGTGCTCTCGTCCCACTGCAGGAGCGGGTGCTCGGCCGTCAGCTGGTGCAGCCTGATGCTCCCGTCAGAACAGCCAGCCTGGGGGAGGCAGGGAAACCTTATCACAGTTCTTTTCTCTTTTTTACTCAAGCTCAGTAGCCAAGGAAAATTTTCAGGACATCAGCTTTTTTTGTTGTACAGCAAAAATATTTGGTTTATATTTTGTTTTCCAAACATAAAATCATAACATTAAATCTTGTCATCACGAAGGTGAGTGTTTGGAGATTCTGATACACTTTGTACCCCCTGCCCCTCCCCAAAAGGGCTAATAATTGGTGAATTCAGTGAACATATAAATAGGTGTTTATTTTTAACAAAGCTGAATATTGCTGACTCAAGCATAGGACATTAAGATTGGAAAGACGGACATCTTTTTTTAAAAAATCACATACATTTGCACATATAATATGGCTTTACGTTCCTTTTGGATTGAAATTTCCATAAAACAAAACTCAGCTGGCCTAGTTAAAGACTAAATTTTTAGCCTAGGAAAAGGAAACAATTCCTTTTTACTCAATATATTTAATTCTTCACATATTTAATCTTTCAAAAAAAGCAGAGGCAAGATATAGCAATCACGAAAGCTTCTAAAGTAAATGAACAGATTTATGCATAATAGAGCCAGGTGCCCACTGTCGGGAGGGTGGAGGGGACCCTGGGCCAGCCGGGGACTAGGGTGTGTGTGCGACGCCGGGTGGGTGGTGAGTAGATGGAGACCAGAAGAGATCTCGATGTCGTGTCCTGTACACAAGCACTTCTGACTGCCCAGGTCTTGGTTTCTAAGTATTTTTCTCCTAACAGGAGCCAGGACTCCTTGGAGTAATGGCTGATCCCGAGGTTTCCTGTGCCAGAAAGCAAAGAGGGGCTCCCGGAACGATGTCAGAACCACCTCCAGGGACCCCTTCCCCCGGGGGGACCATCTGAGCAGTGGAATAAATGCAGGCAGCGAATCTGAGACGCACTGAAGACAGTGAAAAGCCTCGTGTGTCCACGTTTAGACAAGAAATACACACGATCGTGAGGAAAGGCAGTCTTCCGACCAGCGACAGCTCCCATGGAATTAATGACAGGGCGACAGAACCCGCCTGGTGACCGACACGGGGGCTAAGATGCAGCAGCAGCTCAGGGTCTGTGCGTCTTCCACCAGGCCCTGGCTGACCAGACAGGGAAGGGGGGGCCCCATGGTCAGGAAAGGCCTGCATCTAATCGTGAGGAGACGTCCCCAGACTCCACAGGGGACGCCCAGGCCCTCTGTGTGATGCTGAGGCCGGTCCCAGTGAAGGCGGTGAGGAGCCACAGTGACTGAACAGGACACGTGATCCGGGCCACGACGCTGCTCACAAAGGACACTGTCAGGACAGTCGCGGGCTTGCACTCAGACCCACAGAGAGCAGGACTGACCTGGGCTACAGGAGACCAACACCCAGCCCCTGGGGTGGAGCGTCCTGGCCACGGCAAGTGTGTCACTGCACACTCAGGCTGGTGGGGGGCGAGGGGGAACGCTCTGTGCCGTCCTTGTAACTGTTCTACAAGCCGAAAATGACGTCAGAATAAAACGTCTGAAGAAGGTCCAGACGACAGCCTCATGGAACGAGCTGTGCTGACCACACGGATGGGACTTCAGGAGACCAGACCCGAGCGCTGTGGATCCCAGCAGACGCTGCGAAAGAATCGGTGCTTAAAAAACAGGCGTTCTTACCAGGAATATCGGTTCTCCAAACGGTGAAAAGTCAATCACGTTCACCTTCACCGGCCTCATGCCCTGCTGCTGGGGCCTGAACAACCTGGGAGACACTCTCATGTCTTGTCTGGTGCCATGGCTGATGAGGCCCTGAAGGGAGAGTAAGGGGGGAACCAGGCGGGGTAAAGCTCTTATTCTTGAAACAATTTAATCAACATTCTGATTAAAGCAAACAGTAAGTTTACTTCCAACAAAAATACTTACAGAATGAAATCTAGACCGTTACTCACCGTGTCTGTGCCAACAACAAAGCGATTAGAGTCTGAAGGCAGAAATTTAACGCTCAGTGTCTGTGTGGAGCCCCAAAACTCATAACCTTTATGGGAAAGGCTGGAAAACAGCAAAGATGAACAGATGGGCAGTCTTGAAACTGTCAGGGTGGAGGTGACACTTAACACCGTCACCTGCCATCTGCCACTGGACGCACTTCTAGTTCCTTTTCCCTTCGCTTACCATAGGCTCTGCACAGTTCCTTCAGCCCGTCCTCTTGCTCTTTCTTCTACTAAGCCACTCTTTCATTCACAGACTTAAATTTCAGAGGAAACAGTTCCATTTCTAGAAATGTCTTTCTGATCGCACAATTCTCTCTCGTACCCTGGTGGGTGTCCCTCACATGGCAGCGTCGTGACCCTCCCCATGAGCCTGGCCGTGGACGTGCCCCCCACGGGCAGCTGTCCCAGTGCTGACAGCCCCCAGGCACTGGTCTGCCCCACACTCGCTCCTCAGCTGAGGACCCCTGACCGCACCCCGACTCGGCTTCTGGGATTCTCCCGCTGGAGAGGCAGTGCGTCCCAGGGTCCCAGGCAGGGGTCAGCTCCAGCTCGCTGCCCTGCAGGCTGACTTGAAGCTCCACCCTTATTCTGGCCCTTTCCTCGCTTTTTTAAAAGACTGTATCTAGTGTGCTGTTGGTTTTCTACCTTGCACAGTGTTTGTATTGTAACAGCCAGGGCCCAGGGCTGCTCCTGCCACGCTGCCCCAGTCCTGGGTCGGGGATCTGGCCCCTCAGTCTCTCCCCTCTCTTCTTACCTCCAGCCGAGATCCCCGCCTCAGGGCCCGCTGCCCTGGTCACCTCCACGCTGGGCCGAGCAGGTCCCGCCCATCCCGCCCTTCCCACCCCCAGGCCCCCTCCTCCCCCCTGGTCCTCAGCTGCACGGTGCCCCTCAGCTGAGCTGGACACCTGGGCGAGAGGCAGGCTCTCCCCGGTTCCTGGAGCCAGCCGGCCACCAGGTGTGCTCAATCCCACCCTTGACTGAGCCCAGCCCTCCGTCCCCACGAGTGCCGCCTGGTTCAGGCTCTCATCTCGGATCTCCAACCACCCCCACGGCAGCTCCCGAAGCTCTCCCCAAGTGCCCTCCTCTGTTCCAAGCTTACACTGCTGCCAAGTTCATGGTTCTAAACTGCAAACAAGACACACCCCTCCTTATGTAGAGTTCCAAGAAGAGTCCCCGTCACCCTCGAGAGAACTGTCTGAACCCTCGGCGCAGCGGACCCTCCTGAGGGTCAGGCCACCGACTCTACCCTTCTCCTGACAGCAAACCTACTGGCAGGTCTGAAACCGTCGGCGTCTTCATGCCTCTGGGCTCCCTCTGCCCGGAGCAGGCTCCCTGACTCTCATCTCAGCCCCTGTCCCACGGCCATCCCTCCTCCGAGCCCCCACTCAGCATGGCTCCCCCCAGCACTTCACGCGTGTGCCGAGCCATGGGGATGAGGAGACGTGCCACCAGGCCACTCTCAGGGGAGGCCTTGCTGCCCCAGGGGCCAGGGGCACTTCACCCAAGTTCCCCCCTCCTCCCCGGGATGCCCGTGTTCGGGGCCGAGGGAGGGAGGCTCAGGCCTGGCAGGGGGGCTCTGGAGAGGGGGAGCAGCTGCCGGGGGGCCTGCCTCTCAGCCCAGCCCCCTCGCCGCCACCCCTGCCAGACGCCGACCCCACGGCTGCAGTGGCTACTGGACACTTGTCTGCACTTAAGGGCCCTCCCTGAGGGAAGAGGCACCACGAGGCAGCCCGTAGAACACACGCCACTCGGCAAGTGTGCGGACACGGTCTGGACAGGTGTTTGTTACACCCGGACCTGGGGGAGGCAGTGCCACACATTTACCAGGGAAAACCCAACATCAGCTACGGGTGACGCTTTCCTTTAAAGAGCGTATGGTTAAGTACAGGAGAAACTTATAGTTAAAAGATAAATGCAATGCATGGTAGGAAGTGATACGGCCATAATGGAGATGAGAATGGTCTCACAGAAATTCAGTGAGCTGTCGGGGGCCACCCGTGGTGGGGTCTGCAGTGTATTAGATGAGTTTTTTCAGCGTAACTCACTCCTTGTCATAATTATACTGAAATCAACGGCAGGTGATTTACAATCATGAAGCATGTATGAATTCATTGATACAACCCAGAGGTGTTCTGTCTGATGAGGAAAAGTCAGGCTAATATCAAAGCGTTTTCCAGGGTAAATCACAGGCTGATAGCTAGGCCCTGACTGCGGTGAAAAGATGAGAAAAGACATGTTCGGGAAATAAATTAACATGAAATATATAAATACCACAAACAATATTCATACATCTAAGATTTCTACATCATATTAAGTTATTTGAGTAAAAACAGAAACCGAATTTCTGAATAAAACTTTCATACCAATGCTTCTAGTTCCTGAAACTTGTCTATTTAACTTCAGGGTTGTATTAAAACTGGATGAAAAAGAGTCAAATCGTACCAATTCATAAGATAGAAAATATTTTAATCAAAGAAAAATGTTAGCTCTATACCTGGCAATTGCATTTATTACTTTGATTCATTAATAATAAACTAAGTAGCAAATAAACTATTTAGCAAAAATACAGTGGGGGAAGTTAGGGCTCTTCAGTGCCAGCCTGGCCATGCCTTACTACCTAACACTATTTCCTCCTGTGGGAAACAGGGCTTTGTGAGCAGGGATGCAGCACAGACCTACCTGTCACTCAGCTGAATCGCGGCACTGTGCACCAACTTTATCCTCCCTCCAGGTAGTAAACCTACAAACAGAGAAACCAGAAATAAATGCACCTCGTAATACAAGTTAACCAAAATCCAATTACATTTGCCTGGAATTATTTTTCATTGCTTAAATATCTGTGTTAGGAAATAATACAAAAATGCAGGTTGATGAAGAGTGTTCTGTCCCTCACGCAGGGGAGGTTCCTGCAATTGCCTTAGGATATGAATTAAGAATTTGCATTTCAGGGCCTTAGGAGAAGAGCGTTGGTGGAATCAATATCAAAAAGCCTTTACATTTTTAGATTTGATTTAAAAAGGGAAGTACACTTAAGCAAGAAAAGAAAAAAAATTAATATTTAACAAACCGCCAATTCCCCACAGAAACCCTCTCCTGTAAACGTCCTCCCGCGCCGGTTTCGGTTCGTCATGCAGGTGGGGAGGCCCCCTCTGGCCCCTCTAGCCCCGTCCCGCCCCGCCCGGTGTCCCACGCCCACGGCAGCCCCTGCTCACAGGGAGCAGAGCGGATGCTGCACGAAGACGAGGCTGAGAAGAGAGGCCCCTCAGGATGGTTTCCACCGCATCCTTTCTCCAGGAGAGGGGGGGTCCACAGCACCGGCCCCTCCTCATTTCAAGAAGTCAGAGTGACTCTGGTCCTATTTTCTGGCTGGCTCTACGGGGGTGCCCCCGGCCCAAACAAGGTGAAGGGGCCGGTCATTAAATAAGCGGCTGGAGCTGCTGAGGAAGTGCAGGCGGGCGGCCCCTCGGTGCCCCAGCCCAGGGCATCGGGACAGCAAACTGCCGGCCGCAGAGCCCCCCCACCCCCGGTGGCTCCAGTCTCAGAGGTCTTGGGGGTCACACACACCCAGGCCTTTAGACACCGAGTCTCAGGGACGCCCTCAGGGAGCACAGAGCAGACGACACACACGGGCCTCCCGTGACAAGGGCATCAGGGGCCTGTTCAACAGCCGACAGGTTATGAAATACACAACTTAATCTTCATTTTCCATGCAGCTAATCACTGATTCTTCAAAGCGGTTATCGGTATCTTTAACCTTTATTGATTTTAGCAACCGTTGATTAAACTCAGTTTTTATTTAATAGTTACCTAAGTCACTTACTGCACCTGCAGTATCTGCTTTTGCTAATTCAACCACCACCTGAAATGAACACTGAAGATGAGTATCAGCACGTGTAATAATCGGGAAACAGTCTAAGCAAAGCGAGCTCTGATTAAGGCACTAAAAATTTAATTGCTCCAGAAAAAAGACTAGCGTTTAAAAGTTATAAATTCCCTTCTTCGACCTGTTCCTCTACACTCTGTGACCGGTCAATGCCCTGTGCATCCTCCGGCCCTGACACTGCTCCCCTTTCACTCCCACAGGCATTCCCAGCAAGCCCGTCTCGTCCTGGTTTCCCCACCGTAGCTGACTGCATGGTCGCCCCTGCTCCGCACGCATCTCCCCCTGCCACCCCGACCACAGAGCACCGACCACCACGCAAACCCTGGGGTGAGCGCTCGCACGTCCGACTCACCCACACGTTGAGAACCCCACTCTCGTCCAAGGAAGCGACGTGGAAGGACAGGCCTGCTGGCTCTAGTGAAGACAGAACCGGGGAAGGACCGGCTCATAACCAGGAAACCACATCTCACAACTTGAGCTCAGGATTTTATGGAAGTGAAGGGTCACGTACCTTCTTGAGTAGAAAATGGTGAAAGCACACAGCTCTGTCTTTTGCAGACAGACCCTGTGATGGGTTCTATTGCCTGGAGGGGACTGCGGTGGTTTACAGACGTCAGGACACCATCTGGGGATGAAAAGCACAGGCACCACATGCACGCAGTGAGTCGTGGAATACAGTTAACATTGTGCAGGGACAGGCACATCTTCCCAAAGCACAAGACCACGCGGACCACAGTGAAAGGACACGTGCCATGGCTCTCAGCATCACCGAGGAGCAGAGGCCGCAGACCTCGTCACACCTGTGAAAGGCGGGCCCTGTGTCTGCACGACGGCAGGTACAAGGATGGAAAGAGCGGGTGGGGGGCTCTCCACGGCAAGAGGGAGTCGCAGAGACAGAGCAGAAGCTGGGGCCTCCCCGGCTGCAGGGGAACGGGGGTCTCACAGCCAGAGCAGCAAGGGAACGGGGAGTAGGGAGACTCGGGAGCTGCAGGCTCACCACCCCCACCAAGAGCAGCACCTTTAAAGAAACGACACCTCACAGTCCAATGGAACAGAGCTCCTCTGACCTGGCATATCCATCTACAAAATGTCCAGGAGTAGAAAAGAACAGACAAACTCCACACAAAGCTACCGAAGGAACTCGAGAGAAGGTGCAAATGAAAGCATTTCAACCCAAGAAAATTCCCCCTCCAAAAAACAAGCATGCAACAGAAGACCAAAATCCAACACTCCAAACTACATCACATCTCCTCAAAAATACATTTGGAAATGTATTTAAAGCACGTAAACAAACAAAAACACCTGGAATCAGAAACCCAGAACAAAAATGGATTAAAAAACATCAAGAAAGAAAATGAGAGTTAGGGCTGAACTCAGGAAAGAAACTGAAGAAAAAGACAAAACGGTCTCAGGAACGAAGAATAAGTGACAGGGTTTCAGATTCAATGAACTTGAGGGAGGCCAGCTGAGGAAGGGGTGTCCTCTGGACCTGAGGTTACTGAAACTTCGAAGGTTTTAATGACAATGTTTAGATGGCAAAAGAAAACGAAGGCAGCATGTTAATGGAGTAATTAAGTTTAAAAACTTAAGAGTTTTAGTGTTTTGAACACGGTGGTGAATTCAAAGTTTAATTAGTAATATCAGCAGCAGTTAGAAAACGCACATTCTTAAAAGATATTTTCTAACAGCATCAAACCCATAAGGTACCTATAAACTCATACATTCTCAATAGTGGCAATTTCCCCCCCAAAGCGGCAAAAATTGGTTGTTGGGAGACAAAAGAAACCTTGCCCTTTTATGTATAAAACACAGATGTACTCAGAGAATGTACAGAGATACGCAGTATATGTGCGGTGCTCCAGGCAGGGGCGATCAGGCTCCTTGGCGAAGAGGAGGCACACCCGACACGCCTGACACAGGACTGTGTCCAGAGCACACAAGGCCTCGGAACAACTCAACAGTAAGAAGCAACAAATCAATTTACAAATGCGTGAAAGACCTAAACACACCCCACTGAAGACAGACAGCAAATAAGCACCTGGAGACGCTCCGCATCACACGTCCTCAGGGAAACACAAAATAAAACCTCGAGACACACTCGCACCCACCAGAAGGGCAGGAAGTCTGCCGGCCCCGCGGGTGAGGACGTTCAGCCCGTGGCGCCTGGGGTGCAGGCTCCAGTCCTGACCACCAGCCACGGGAATTAACCAGGAGCCCACCCACCAGCCGGCGCAAATACCCACGTGGTGCCCAGCAGAGGACCCTGCCCAGAGAAGGAGGGGTGACGTTCTGAGCCCCACACAGCCGTGACCACAGGCACATCTCCCGAAGGGACGGAGGCCAGGCGTGAAGGTCTGGGCCCTGCAGGGTCCCATCATTTGCCTTCTGAGAGGGTAAAACTACAGAGAAAAAGCCGATCCTGGGACTCATGAAGATGGGGAGACGCAAAGCCAGCTGTGTGTTGGGTGCGTGGGTGGGGGGTGTCCCTGGGCAGGAACAGGGAGAAGGACGGTGAGAGACGGTCAGGTCTGAGTGCAGGCCCTGCCCCGAGGTCACTGTGCTCGTGGACGAGCCTCCCACCCCTGAGCACTGGCAGGTGGGCAGAGACAGGTGCTGAACAGGTCACGTCCACAAAGCACTGAGAGAAAACCCCGGAACACAAGTGCCTACGCAGGGGCGGGGCAGGGTGGGGTGGTGGTCGTGCTTGTCCTTGTTTGTGGTTGTGATTGGCTGTGGCTGGAATTGTAATTGTGATTTTGGTTGTGGTTATGGCTGTAGTTGGCTGTGGTTGGAATTGTAATTGTGGTTGTGGTTGTGGTTGGTTGTGGCAGCAGCCGCATTGGCATGAAGTATTCACAGGAGTCTGACTAGGGGTCCTGGCAGCTCCAGTGGTTCTGGTTCCTTTTGACCCCTGAGAGGCCACTACTTCTCTCCTTCAGCCTCCAGTGGGGCTGTCTGAGCCACAGAAGCGCACACACCAACGCACTTCAGACTGATTTAAAACTGGGCGTCATCTCACTGAGGACCTGAAGTCCCCAGAGCTAACAGGACGGAGCGCTCCCATCACCACTGCCACTGCCCGAGCAGCTACCGGAAGGAGGCTGTTTCTCCTGTTTATCACAGGTCTCTTTTGCTCTTAGGTCAGAGCCGTCCTCTGGGATGACCTGCATGAACGATGCAAAGGGATCTCACGGCTGCTCCGGAAGACCCTGGGCTGGCGGGCAGTGTCACTGACCGGTGGAAAAGGTTGCGGTCCTGAACGTCCAGAAGCACCCGCTCAGCTTCACGTAATGATGGATCCTGGCATCTTCCCTCAGATCCCACACGACCACCGAGCCGTGCACGGTCCCAGCAAACAGCAAGAAGGCTTTAAAGGGGCTAAAGCAGCAGCACGTGACCTAGAAAGATGCACAGAAAGCCGGAGGCTGACAAGTGGAGGCACCGGTGTCCGTGGACCTTCCACCTGGAAGCCGAGGGCGTCTGCGTGTCGTCTCCCTGGGTGACGGGAGGGATGGCAGCTGCGGGGCGTGGCCACGGTGCCTCCATTCAGCCCCATCAGGTGGCCCAGAAGGGCTGATCCCTCTTCTGCCATTTTATTTACATCCTGCATCACAGTAAGTTGTTATTTTCAAGCCCCCAAAACTGATACCCATAAAAGTTATCCTTCTCCACAGCTCTGGAGGAAATCGACGACTTTGAGGTCAAGGACCACATGACTAGAAACACACACGTAAAAGGGCAGCTCTCCCACTGTACCCGCGTGGTCGTCACACCACAGCCCCAGTAACCAGGGGCAGGAAACGCACGCGGCCAAGGACCTGGAAAATCTCAGGCACATTAAGAAAGCTCTACAATATCCAGACCAACTGCAGCAAGCCGGGAAGCACACTTCTGGGGTCCCAGCGGCGCCAGAGCCCATGTGTCCATTAAGTCACAGGCACGACAGTGCTGAACGCCAGGGACTGAGAGGCTGTGGTAACCTGGCCCCTCCGTCCAGCTGGTCCTGCCAACTAGGAGTTTCTGCACCTCGTCACCCTGCACACAGCTGGGGTGGCAGGGACAGAAAACAGTGGCCTTGGAAGCCCTCCTGGTGCCTGCCTTCTGCTAGTAACACCACGGCTCTCCCGGGCTGTACCTTCGACTCGCATATCAGGACCTTCTGGGGTCCCGACGGCTGCCAGATGTCCCACACGCAGAGCACGTATCTGCCATCCAGCAGGGGCGTGAAGGCTTTCCCAGGTCGCCCGTGCACGGACACCACCATCCGCCTCTGAACCTGAGAGGCATGCAGGTAGGACACTCTCCGGTCTGAGGATAAGACAAGAAAAATGTTTCTGCATTTAGTGATCTGCCAGAATCCACGTTAAACTAACATACTTCAGATTATTCAGATACATTTCAGCTTAATGAAGAAATAAACATGGTCTTTCGAAGATGCCCGCATCTGAAATCGGGGTTTTTACAAATGGCCAAGGTCGACTTGAAAACGTCCAAGTTGGCCTCGTTTGCTAGAAGCCACCCTCCTCCGCACTCGGCACAAAGCGGCCTGGGACTCCGCTGTCCATCAGCTACTCCTACGGGCCCGTGGGAGCGCAGGTGACCTGGGTGGGGCGTCACAGCTGCCCCATCAGTGCCTTCTCCCCCGGCAACGGGACCCTGCCTGACACCCATCTTCCTCCTGATATCTGTCCCTCAGACACACTGTCTGTTCCCCTCGTTCGGTCCACTTACAGAGGCAGGATTTCTGTCTGTCTGTCCACTGTGGCTCCAAGGCCTGGGACACTGCAGACACTCCTGAGTATCTGTGGCACCCAGAGAAGAATGAGTGGGCCACCAGCGCTGCGCGTTTCCTGGCGATGGTGGCATCGAGCGGACTCTGTGAGGGTCCCGGGTCACTCCCTCGGAGCTCAGCTCCAGGTAACGTGAACCAGGCCCAGGTCAAGGACACCTGCCGTCCCAACCTCCTCTCCCGTTACCTCAAAACTCACTTTACTAAAACAAAACACAAGAAAAACCTCCAATCTGCCCACACTCGGAACTAAGGGGCAAGTTCCGGACAACACCCGTGCATCCTCTGTCTCTAACTAAGGGCTCTGGAACAAGCACACCCGGCCCCCAGCCCCGGATCTGTGACGCTGCCATCGCTCATCAGCTCCTGGAGGAAAGGACTGCTTTAATTCCTGTTTCTTGGGCTGCAGGGGGAGGTGGTGGTGTGGACAGCTGTATTTTGAATGCTATAGATGCAATGATTTATTGTTTTTCTAATAGGATAACTCTTACCTTTTAAAAACAAAAATACCCTCAAACAACATGAGTTTCTTAAATTAACAATGCCATTTGTGCTAATGGTCAGTGCAGAGGCATGGATACGAATCTAGATCTCTACAGCAGGCAGGATAGAGGAACTTCTAGAACAAGCGGCACCAATGCACCGGGTCACGCAGGCCCAGAAGCACCCGGCACAGCTGACTGCGGGGCCCCTGCACTCCTTGCCCTTCTCCACGCAGACCAGGACCATGGTTGCCACCCAAGCCCTCACCAGACACTTGTTTTAAAAACAAGGAGGCGACCCACTTAAGCAATTTACACTTGGTCACGCACACGCAGTTTGTTTCGTTTATGACCACATGCGGTTACACTCCATGTGTGATGACACGGGCTTCACTTTGGTGGATTTTATGCTCTGTAACCACGGATCAACTTAAATCTAAGTCAACGCTGGGCTAAGTTAACCACACGACTCCCACTTGGACGCTCCCTCACGCCGCTCCCACCGTTCCTCTACCCGTGAGTGCCCATCATTCCTGTAACACACGCGCTCGAGTCTGCAGAAGCTGGACCTCCGCTCCCTGTTCAATAATCCCCCTGCTAACACAGGGTGTAACAGTAAGGGTCACTGCCTCAACGTCAATGTTGACTTTGAGGACCGCTTACTTTGAAGGAACGGCAAGCTGGTATTCAGCTGCGCGGAGCTATCGCTGAAGCGCAGGGGGCAGTCCTGCGCCCGGGGTGTCCAGGTCGGCTCCGACGCCACCCGATCCTCTTCAAGCAGAACCGCAATCACCTTCCAAAGACACATGAGCAGTCCTTCTTCAACACTCTCAAATGGACTCATCTTACAAGATAAAACAAAGCACTACCTAATCTTACCTGTTTCTTAAAATAACTGCCTAAGTCCAAGATATCGTATAAACGGACAGAATGAAATTATTTTGTCCTTTCCACACAATAATAGAAACTACCAGGTAAAGTTCCATTAACATAAACTCCAGAGCCATTATTTAACATTGGATGTCATTTTTCATAGTAAACCTTTTGCTAAAATAACGGGAGTGGGGAAAGGGACCCTCCAGCTTTTCTAGAAGAAACAGGGGCATGGAAATGCCACCTACAGCACCACTTCCTGCTCACCGGGCTGCAGTAAGGACCCAGTGTGACAGCAAATCGCCGTCACTGCCCTCATGGGTCGTGGGTCACGCTCAGGACGACGATGGGGAAGAGAAAGGTGAGGTGGACTCGGGAGAGGTTCCCACTGAGAACAGACGGGACAGGGCGGGAGGCCCAGCAGTGAGACCAAGGTCTCCGACCCCGGCCGCCCCTGCTTCCTGCTCCAGCCCACCTTTCCTCCACGTCACCGGCACCCGAGTGTGTGAACTCTCACTGAGAGCGGCTGACGTCACGTGCAAGCGTGTGAAAGCACAGTTGTATCTCGTAAAGAACAGGCGCTCCGCCACGCAGCTCGGAGACCAGCACCAGGCGTCCAGCACAGGGCTGAGGACAGGCTCATTCTGAATCTACATGTCAGGTTCATGTGTATTGTACTTATCGGTGCTTTATACTTGAATTCTGAGCTGACGTGGAAACAATACGAGACAACTGAAGAAACACAAACGCCGACCTTGCACTTGATGTACTGAGAAACATTACAGACCCTGATCCTCTTCCTCCAGGGGCTCAAACAGAAACACCCACGCAGGACCAGGATGGTGACCGTGGTTTGCTTTGATATAATTGAGGGGTGGGTGACGGAGCTCAAGAGGTGAAGGGCTGCAAGCTGGGACCTCTGAAGCACGCGGCGGCCACCTGCCGCCCCTCGACCTTTGTACGGACTTTGAAGATTTCCATAACCAGTTTTTAAAGTCATGAGTTTACTAGTTTCAAATACCCTAGATGTGTGCTCACCTTGCTGACTTTGTATGTCTGTTTTTTAGTCTATATTCATTTTAAAATGCAAGCAACCAACGTTACAGTACAGAATCCAAACACACAGACAGTGCCTGCAGACACAGAAGCTGCTGGGGTCCCTGCCCAGGGCAGAGCGCACCTGGCAAGCGGCCCGGAGGAAGCTGCACAGGCGGGGCGTGTTGACCTTCGGGACGACGGCGGCGGCATCAAGGGGGCCGCTCCGCTCACTCCCTGAAAAAACAGCACACATGAAACCAGCCAGCGCGACTCTCACAGTCACGGTCGCACACGTCAAAGGGCGTACGAGTGAACCAGGAGCCCTGGAGGGGAAGCCAGGGGGTTCCATCTCATCCTCTAGATCGCCTCCTGATTTCTCAGAAGTCTGTAAACAGAATCCTACCTAAAGCATCAGTTTATCATGTATGTGTTACGTTTAGGTGTGTTATTTTCTTAGGATGAGGCTTCCCTGAGGAAAGGGAGTAACAGAGGTAATTCCTCAGAAGGAACAATCCACCACCAGTAAAGCAATATTTAGCACACAAATAACCGAGGAGAACCCAAGGTGAGCAGAACTCTGCATATTCCAGGGGCTTCCATCTGTCTTGATATGACATACCTGGAAAATGTACTTAAAGATGAAACTTCTCTAAGAATGAGAACAGACTACCCCAAATTAAGAGCAGAGAGTGTTCTAGAAGGCCATCTGCAAAGTGCTGGTTTGGCGCGTGGGCTCGTTCCTTTCCGTTTAGGAACAAGTGTTGTGAACCCTGATCAGGGCCCAGCCCAGGCCTCCAGCTCCGCGCAGGTGCTAAGGGTGGTGTCTGGAAGAGCTCTGGTGTTTCCACAGTCACGTGGTGACAGCCACACTCGAGACGGAGGAAAGAACAAGAAAGGGAGTGAACACAACTCCCAGGGTCGAGAGCAGAGGCTGGTTACCCCCAGACACGAGCGCGCCTTCCCCTGGGTGCTGGGTCCACACTTCCTGAGTCTCAACCTCTTCAGTCTGGACATTCCTGTCCACGTTATCTTCATTATACTGAACATAGGCCTGAAAAACAAAGCTGGGCTGAATTAGCTTTGGATCTCAACCTCAGAGCCATTTCTCATTGCTGAAAACAACTAACAATTTTTAAGTTAATGATGACAGTCTTCTAGTCTGTCAAAAGTAAGCATATGGCATAAATAACAATCATGCAAAGACTGGTTGTGTCTTAAACATTTGATAAATATGGGCCTAAATTTCAAAAGCGTTTTCAAAAAGTCACAACAAACAATTCAGCTCTGGCTTGAAAAGATGATGACCTAGTCCACCAACACCCTATTCTCTTAGAACACAGCAGCTTTGCAAAACCAGACACAAATTTATTTATTTCAAAAATGTACATGCTTCAGCAAAGACAGTTTTGATACTAATAGCTTTAAGATGAGGAAAACAAGCAAAAGAAGTTAGATAGTCTGCTCAAGGTCAGAGTGAGTCAGCTGCAAAGCCAGGGTTAATCAGTCAGCTTCTTAAATTTCCTCCTGTGATCTTCTCCCCAGTGAAAGATTACTGACTGATATATCCAAGAGCATGTTGATAGGTGCACTGTGGGGACAGAAGAAAAATGTCCCAGGAGATCCCTGACTCCAAGACTTCACCACCTTGGGAGGTGGACTGTCACACAGTCAACAACTGGAAGTACTACAGGGAAACACAGGGCTGTGTGGGTCGTACTGTAGCAACCCTGGAGCCAGAGGACACAGCGTAAGTCATCGGGAAGGGGTCACCTAGTTGCCTAGAGGGCAGGACAAGGACAGAGAGCAACAGGCAGGTAGATGGCAGGAAAGGCTGCGTGGCCTAAGCCAGGTGATGGAGAAAAACAGGTAGATGACAAAGGGACCTGGCAAGAAGGATCCACAGGCAGGTAGGTGATGGGGGGCCTGGCACAGGAAGACCTTGAGAGGAGGGTGAGGAGAATGGAACAGGCAGGAGGGATACTGAGGTGAGCCCAGTGTCTTGGGATTTGGGAGGCACTCGGTCGCTGATCTTGCAGGAACATATGTGCAGGCCTCGGAGGCAGTGCAGGACGCTACACCCCACAGGAACCCAAGCAAGTGATCCGAGGTGACTTCCCAGTGACCTTCAGTAACCCCCCTACTTGGGGCTGTCCTCAGGGCTTAGGAGCGATCCACATCCGTGCCCAGGAGCCTCCAGGGCGCCGAGGACGCTGGCACAACCTCCAGGTGACGAGCACATGACGTCTGCGTCCCTCACAACCACTCCCAGGTCTAACGTCCGGAACAGGACACCGCACCACACAAACTCCTGCCAACGCACTGTACTCGCACTTGGTAGCTAACCTTGTACTCACCTGCTTGGTGTTTCTTTTCCCAAAGTTTCGGATGTACATGTCATACTCGTTCACTGGTGGGAGGTCCAGGAGGGAGAAGGTGAAGGAGAAGTCCAGGTCGATAAGCCGGAGCAGCTTCGTGCTGCGTGTCCTGGAAACGAGACGACGTGACATCAACCACGTGCAAAGGGAAGAATGGGCCGGGGGAGGGAGCCTCAGGAGCAGCTGGTGGCTCCGGCCAAGGGGCTCGTGAAGGTCTGTCTGGTGGGAGCCTGAGATACTGACAGTCACTAAGATGGGAACTCACGCGTGTACAGCGAGGCCCCGGGGCTGAAAACCCCACCTGTGCCGTCGGCGCCCTCAGGCCCCCATCCCACCTGCCCGCCACCCACCCCGCTCTGAGGGACTGAGCCCTGGCCACTCCCGAGGAACACGTCCAGCCAGGCGAGCCCCTGTCCACCCTCACCCCCGCCCTCATCTGATAAGACACTGGAAGAGCCGTGCCGCTGCAGAGGCTGGCGGCCATGAGACCCGGGGGCGGGAGAGCCCGCTCCGCCAGTGCGTCTCCCTGGCCGATCCCGCTCTCTCTAAACCTACTGCATCCATCCCAGATCTGGGTGGACTCTTACATCTGCTCCCAGACTGTACTGGGTTTAGTACAGCAGACCACGGGCTGAGATTCTGTTCTCCACTTTCATGAATCTAGGAATTCTGCAAATTTCTGAGTTCACAGTCGTGTAAGCTTGGACTCTGACTCCTGGTGGCCCTGGCTGTTCAAAGTTCACATCCACCTCCACCAGAGGCTAACCCGGGGCCTCCGCTTCATCGTCTACACAACTGGCCTGCGGCACCCACGGAGGACATCAAGACAGGAGGCACAGCGCCCGGGCCAGCGTGGGGCTCTTCACCCACGAATCCCCAGCTTCCTCACGCGAGAAACAGAGCGCTGGCCCTGAGTGACGCCAGCCACAGGGCAGGAGGGGGCAGCACCACAGGCGCAGGCTGGGCCAGGCCGACTCTCTGCTCGGGGTTCCGGCCACCAGCCTCGCAGGCCCCTGACTGTGACGCTGCTGCAGCCGTGACATGGGGGCTCCCAGGGCCCCCCAGAACTAACACCAATGCTAGGGCCGATTTTGTCTACAGCACTGCACACCCTCACCAGGACACAACATCTGGACACAGGGAAACGGAGCACAAATGAAATCACGTGCCTGAACGCCAGCAGTGAAAACAAAACAAGAGCTAATTTTTAAGGGTACGTTGAAGAAAAGTGTATTAAAACTCCCTAATTCCTTCTGCAAAGTTCCCAACACACCTACTTTTGCTTAAGGGCCTGAGTCCGACTCTTCTGGCGGCGTGAGGCTGTCGCAAAGTCCAGGAAAATCCCACAAGCAGGGGTTTCGGAGGGGGATACGTCTGCAGCTGCACACACACAAAAAGCGTTTTCGTGACACTGAAACGTTTCCTCAAGCAAAAGAAATCAAGAGTAAACCAGCCAGAAGCATGCAAACCAATTACGTTCAGTAAGGTCTTTACACATAACTAGTGTTAAACATCTTCTACGAGCATTTAAGAACCACTCCAGCTACCGTCATCTAAAACTTTCAGCAACAAAGCAAAACTTCCTACGCATGTGCCAATCACACTACGTTTAGAAATATTTAAGAATACACATACAAGGCAGTCCTCCACTCCCGCCCCACTCTCCCCTCCCCCTCCCAAAGTGTGTCCTCTGGTAAGGGAGCTGAGACGTGAACGCACAAAACAACTGAAGAACAGAGACAGATGCAGCTTAATGCTGGATCAGCCACTCACTGTGGCAGAGAGAAAACAGGCAGACGCGGGCAGGGGTTCGTCAGGTCACAGGGTGCGGAGGTCGTTGACCTGGTGACCCACCATCAACTGCCGAAAGCTCCCACCAGGACGGACAGCTCGGGCCCTCACCCTCCCATGCAGACAGCCTCCATTGCCTCTATCCCCCAAGGATTTCTGCGCTTCCCGTGCAGACTGACCCCCGTCTGTCTACACATTTATTCCAGTTGTATCTTACTCTGTCTTCTCATTCCTCTTGGATACGTGTTTGAACTCCTGCAAAGAGCGTGCCCTCCCCTGCCGTCTCACAGCTTGATCAGACCCACCAGGCACAGACGGATCCCAGCCAGGGCACCCGCCTGGAGGCCGCAAGCAGGTTGCTGACCGAGCGCCTCCTGTTTCTCATCCCTCAGAACACCTGGCACTCAGGACAGTCAGGAGCGTTTATGAAAAGAACTCTCCTACCCTTACAAGTAGCCCTATCATACCCAGATGCCAAGAACTTCTGAGCGAAATACATTTCCAATCTCCTAAAGAAAATCGCCGGGAGAGGACAGCTCCCTGGGGAACAGACCCTGTGCCGCCACGCGGCCCCTCTGACACGCCTGGGGCTCCAGAAAAACAGCAGCCTGTGCAGCTGACGGACGACACAGCGCAGGGAAGGAGCAGGGCTGCGCCCAGGCCCCCCGCGCTGAGCACCTCCCGGGCGCCGTCACGGGGGAGGAAGGGCCGGGAGCGACACGGGACCAGCATGCACTCACGTACCTGGCCCCGGCCCCGGCCCCCTGCCACGCTCCGTCCGGCCTTGCTTCTCAAACAGCTTCGAGGACAGCTCGCCGACCCGTTCATTTTCTGCGTGGATGGCTTTCTGAATTTCCTGTATCTCCCTCCTTCTGGCCAGAGGAAGCTCTTCCGCTGTCTCTTCTGATTCAGGCTCATGTGCAACATCGTCATCGTCCCCGTCACAGACCTCAAAGTCATCCTCGTAGCCCTGCAAACGTAGCAGACACACACACAGGACAAAACACACAGCTTACAGCCTGAAACAGACGTGGTCCTCAGTGTGGCTCAGGGCGACTTCTACAGCTCACAGATTTCCACATCATTGCATCACAAATCTGTATGAACTGCTGCGTTTGTTTTTCTGCATCTGTATAAACTACAGAACTACGTACACTGAGAGCTCTGAATGAACAATAACGTGCAAACGCCTTTGTGCTGAGAATGGGAGTGTATGTGCACATAAACGTGTGCTACATGTATACTCCATGTAGACGGACACATATATATGCATACACACGTGCACATATATGTACACATTTGATTGCAGTGCACTAACAATAGCTTAAATAGAAAAACCACTTAATTACATCATATTGGTCAGCAATGGTAGACATATAGCAAACTTTTTATAGGTGCCAGACCTAAATCAAACAGCTAAGGAGTATTGAGAGCAACAGAAAGAAAAAAAGAAACTATTAAGTTACTGATTTTAGAACAAATTATCTTTAAGCTGAGAAAATTTTAAATTTTTATACCTACTTCAAAATCATCTTCAGAACCGGCTGCACATTCGCCAGCTCCAGCATTTCCTAAGTCGGTGTCTTCCTTTTCAATTTCCTGGAGTAGAAATCAAACATACAATTAAAATATTCAATCATAAGTTGGCTCTTGCAAATCGGTTGGGAAAATACATTTTTTCTCAGATTCACTTGATGTTGCTCATTTTAAAATTCAAATATCTATAAAATGAACATAACCTAATTACAACTCTTAAAGAAATACCCTAACTTATAAGTATAGCCAGAAAGAGAAAACAGTGAACAATCATATTCTTTTTGGGAAACCTCTATAATTCTGGTGGCTAAAGAAAAAAGGTGTGGTACTTCCCTGGTGGCGCAGTGGTTAAGAATCCGCCTGCCAATGCAAGGGACACGGGTTCGAACCCTGGTCTGGGAAGACCCCGCATGCCGCGCAGCGACTAAGCCCATGCGCCACAGCTACTGAGCCTGTGCTCTAGAGCACGCCAGCCACAGCTACTGAAAGCCCGTGTGCCACAACTACTGCAGCCCGTGCACCTAGAGCCCGTGCTCCACAAAAAGAGAAGCCACCGCAATGAGAAGCCCACACACCACAACGAAGAGTAGCCTCTGCTCGCCACAACTAGAGAAAGCCCGCACTCAGCAACGAAGACCCAACGCAGCCAAAAAAAAACCAATGGAACAAAATTTTAAAAAGCGAAAAAGAGAGAAGGTATTATACAAATAACCCACAGACTGGCATTCAGCACTGCCTTCCCCACTGTGCCTCTCACCCATGATCACAGCCCGGCATCTGCAGTTAAGAACAGACACACTGACACATGTGCTCAAGCACACGCCAGCCAGGTCCCGTGTGGCCCACCACAGCTCCAGTAACCAGGACCAGCCCACAGCCCTGCCCCACGAGCAGGCAGATGGGCTGCTCTGCCCCTGGCCCGGCCATCACTGACCACTGCCAGCCTCCATTTCTCCCCTGAAGTCTGAGTAAGTCCTGCAGTGGACGTGTGCTCAGTCGTGCTCTGCAGGTTTGGGTGGCTGCACGTGTCACCCTCAGGCCGACCCGGTCTGGGTCTGAGGGATGAGGAAGAGGGTGCCGGGAAGACGGAGCAGAAGGACGTTCCAGGTCTCCAGGGCAGGAGGTGGCAGAAACGAAATACAGGTTCAGGAAACTCACGCTTTCGCCCAAGGCTGTTCCTTCTCTTGTCCACCTCCGCTCCCCCTCGCCCGATTTACTGGTGACATGGCACCTCCACCGCTCACAAGCCTACACACCAGGAGCCTGCCGGGACCCCGCTCTCCCCGCCCGCCAGCCGGCCCTCCGCCCCAACCCTGCCACCCCCCAGCCTAGCCCCTACCGTCCCTGCCGTGTCCCCTCTCGTGCCCTCGGAGTTCAGAGACAACCTTCTGAGCAGGAAATCTGATCACACCACACCTGCTTCATACCCACACGGCTCCCCAGCACCCGTGGTGGACGCCCCAAGCACCACAAATTCAATCACCGAAGGGGCTTCCGTCTCCATCCTGGAGGAAGAAACAAAACATTCCTGGTGCCTGCAGGCAGGACAGACGTGGGGAGGTGAGACCCACCCGCAGGCCTGCTGCAGAGGTGGGCACTGCTGATCTGCCCAGGGGCAAGGAGACGACTCGCAGGCTTTCGGGTTTCACACAAGATAGATGTTGGGGATGGAGAGCAGAGGGTGAGCCTGCGGAGTGTGGACCGTCCAGGAGGGGCCGACAAGCTTGGAGCTCAGGAAGGGGGCGGGAAGGGCTTCATCTTCTCTCCAGAACCTAGTGCCCTGCTGTGTGGTGACCAATGCCAGGAAGTCAGTGATCGGAGCCACAGAGAAGCCAGCTGAGCCTCAAAGTGGACATTCGGTTCTGAGCCCGGGGATGAGGACGTGCCCCGCAGGCCCAGAGGACCAAAAAGCTGCCTCACGAGCAGGTGCTTTGGGCACATCGTCATACAAAGTCACCGTACGTTATGGTGCATGACATGCCATGTGTACGGTACCAATAAACAGGACCCTGCTGATTGAGAAGAGGAACTAAGACAAACGTCATGCAGGAGTTTTAAGCAAAACTCACAGCATCGCAAGCTCGCTGCGTGCCGACAACTCATCACTCGGCAAGCACCCAGGGCCTCACGGTGCCCAAGGCGCCCGTCAGGGGCAGACAGGAGGACGGTGCCAAGGAAGTGTTCCTCCACCTCCCGCAGGGGCCCCGAACACACAGCCTTCTGCTTCACCCCCAGTTTTGGAGAGAGTGCCTTGGCGTCACCAATGGCCTCTTACAGGAGGAAAGGGCCGTTTCCTTTGCCTCTGGTTTGGCTTTTGTTTTTGAAAATTATCTGCTACGTGGAATATGTCTCACTGATGATGGCCAGAACTGTGTCTCTGTGACGCCTCTGTTCAGTTTCTTCCATTCTCCCCAGACCTGCTTTCAACGCAGAGCAACAACGAGAAGGCTGAGGACGCATCCAGCCCACGCTCCTCAGGAAGCCGCACACCCGAGGGCAGCGCGGGGCAAGCACGCACCTCCCCCTCCGTCCTAACGTCCTGCTGCCTAAAAGGAGGAGGGTATCACCCCCAGGAAACACACCGCGAGAGCCGGGACACGAGTGACAGCGCGCGTTGGGACAGAAGCAGAGACACGTCCTCTCCTTACCAAGGCCTCTTCGCTCCCTTGCCTCCGGGCCAGCTTCCACGCCGAGGGGCCCTCTTCGCGGCCATGCTGGGGGACACAGCACAGCTGGTCAGCGCAGAGGGACGGAGGGAGGGTCCCAGGGCAGCCACAGGGCCCACCCCCCCTCTAATGGGGACGCAGGTCCTTGCTCAGAGGGGCACTGGCGGTGCGACTTCACACAGGAACTCAGACTCTCTGGGCCTCGGTTTTCTCTTCCAAGAAATGGGGAGAACTGTGAACCTTCTTCCTTGTGCCAGTGAGGCGGCAGGTAAAACGGGAGAAGCTGGCCATCCTGCTGTGGTCACTGGCCCCAGGAAGGCACAGCTCTCAGATGTCACTGCTCAAAATCATTTGGTGCCAAAGAGTGGGGAGTGCACAGCGTATCACCATGAAGAAAATGAGCAGTTTTCCACGTGTCCATAAAATTATTCTGGCATATTGTGGGCTCTCCATAAATGCTGAAGAATGTTGATGCTATAAAATATATGACCCAATCATAAGCCAGAATGAGCTGCCAAACATCTTCAAAATCACTTCTGGGCTCTCTCAGGGGGAAAAGACATCACATATTTTGCTCCTTTGGCAAAAAAAAGAATGTAAAATGTCTCATTCATAATTTTTTATATCGGTTACATGTTGAAAGAATAATATTTCAGAAATGTTGGATTATATATGTTATTCAAATTAATTTTATGTTTCTTTTTTAAGATGACTACCAAAAATTAAAAATTACAAATGTGGCTCACATTGTAAGTCTAGGGAACAATGCTAACACTTACCAAAAACATTGGGAGACAGAAGGAAAACATTAAAAACTATATATTTTCATCCAATAATTCCAGTTCAAGAAATTTAGGGCTTCTCTGGTGGCACAGTGGTTAAGAATCTGCCTGCCAATGCAGGCGACAAGGGTTCGAGCCCTGGTCCGGGAAGATCCCACATGCCACGGAGCAGCTAAGCCCGTGTGCCACAACTACTGAGCCTGTTCTCTAAAGCCTGTGAGCCACAACTACTGAGCCCATGTACCACAACTACCGAAGCCCGCGGGCCTAGAGCCCGTGCTCCACAACAAGGGAAGCCACCGCAATGAGAAGCCTGCACACCGCAACAAAGAGTAGCCCCTGCTCGCCACAGCTAGAGAAAGCCCACATGCAGCAACGAAGACCCAATGCAGCCAAAAATAAATATTAAAATAAAATAAATAAAAGCCCTTCTCTAAAAAACAAAAAAAAAGAAAGAAAGAAAGAAAGAAATTTACCCTCGAAAAGTAGGAGGGAGATCTGTATCATTAGAACTGGAGGGGTTTCCACAACAAATCAGGAAAAACAGTATATGCTACATGGGGTGTATGTGTATATAAAACAGAAAAAAAGGCATTCAAATCCCCCAAATATATATATCAAAATAGGATTGTGAAAGATAACATAGAAAAAAAGATTATGTGGGAAGAATTATTTGTAAGGCTAACTTTTTTTTCTAAGGTGTGGCTACAGCTAGACAGTAAGGAATCCAACCACTGCCCCAAACTGAGTGAATAAAACATCCTCACATCAAACAACACATGCCGCATGACCTGGTTTATGAAAGATTACTGTGCTTTTGTGTATGTACATGGAATAAAGGTCTGTAAAGACATGGCACGAGATACTAAGGACAGGTATCTCACAGGCCAGGGTTTCAGACAACTATCAGAGAGAGAAAACGATTATTCTTCACAGGTAACAGAAGCCAAAATCTGCTTGCTGCGTTATCTATAAGAAGACAAAAACCCAGGAAGTGGTTTGATGATAATTTTAACACCACAGCATACAATTCTAGAGATACCAAAGAATCATTCTGAAGACTCTTCTGATGATAATTATGAAAATGGCATACAAAATGAAGACTGGGAGTTGTGGTGTCCTGAGTGACACCGTATCACCGACACGTGCTTCTCGAATATACACACACGCACACGTGGTCCAGAACATGAAACAGCTATTACACCTTATGACTTGCATGTGCTTCTCCAGTATACACACACGTGCGCACAAACACGTGCTCGCACACCTAGTCCAGAACATGAAACAACTACGTAAGGAGCAGGGCCATGAGGGCGTCAGTGATAATAACGAATGTTTGACAGAATTCGCCAGTGAGGTCATCTGAGCCTGGGTCGCTCTGTGGAGAGATTTTCTACACTAACACAGTTTTGTTACTAACCACAGATCTACTCAGACTTTCTGTTTCTTCTTGAGGCAATTCCACCAATTTATGTCTTCCAGGAATTTCCCTTTCATCTAAATTGTCTAATGTGCTAGCATGAAACGCTATCATTCTATTAGTGAAAGTGGGTGCTAAAGTCTCAATCACTGTTGAATTTTCTATTTCTCCCTTTAATTCTGTCAGTTTTTGCTTCTCGTATTTTGTGTCTCTTTTGTGAGGTGCATGTTCATTTATAAATGTCACATCTTCCTGCAAGCTAATTATTTTATTACTACCATACGTTCCTCCACCTCTAGTCCAGCCACTCAAGCTCTGTTACAGCTGCTGTTTGATGGTTCACCTTGTCCATATTTTTACTTTTAATCCATTTGAGTCTTTTAATCTAAAATGTATCTCTTATGTGCCTCCTGGAATAGCCAACCAAATAAGCCATCTGCAAACAAGGCCCGCCTCAGGGTCTGAGTCGCAGGACCACGCCCACTGCATAACAGAATCAGTGTGAAGTGTCTTACCTTCCTTCTGGAGTCTTTATCTTTCCCATTATTCCTCTCTAAATTCTCTGCATGCCTAGGAAGCAAATATGATCAAAATCAAAATTAATTTTAAACGAAGACTTGAAAATTAAAACATTGACATCCCAGTGAAGGCTCAGCAATTGATATGATTAAGAATGGCAGTAGTTTGGCATATTGCAAAGCATGCTATGTTAGAACTATGAATACTCAATCCTTTTTAAAACTATTTTTACTATTTTAGCAGTAGTACAAGATAAGAAATATCTTCAGTAGAGAGAGAAGAAACTATGTGTTTTAACAAACTTGTGTTTGTGTATGACTCTAAATCCTTATAAGAATTCTAGAATATTCCTGTAATTTTATTAGAGAATCTCCCAAACGTTATTTTGTGTTTAATATAATATTTGTATTTCCAAAAGAAAGATTTATCTTGAAATATGTTCTATTCTTTAATCATATTTTATATGTTTACCTGGGACCTAAAATAAAGGCTTTCAAAATTGCAAGTTGATTTTCAATTTTTGGAACTTACATTCATACCAATTCAATACAGCATATGTTTAAAAACATACAGAACCAAGCAAAAGCTTCACTGTGCATTCCAGCAGATCTGCAATATAAAATCCAGGAATCTGCACCCCCAGGTTTAAGAACTAACTTTGTTCAAACTTGTAAGAATTGGGGCAAGGCATTTAACCTGAGTCTTCCTAATCTGCGAAGAAGAATTACCAAATATAGTTGTCACAAAGAACAAGTTACAACGCAGAGCTCGTATACAAAACGAGGGTTTACACACAAACTCTAATCTGTAATCTTCATGAACCGCACAAAATAGGTATCATCCAAGCTTCACCAGAAAAGATGAGGCTCCAAAGGGCCACCCAACATCTCAGGGAAGATGCAGATGTGCAGCGGCCTGGCCAATGCCCTGGCCTTTGTCTGACTTGCAAACACTGGGCAGCGGTGGTCTGCGGGCGTGTCTGCGCTTAGTGTTTAGGGGAGGTGAACCATAGGCCGGTAAAAGGTGCCCAACAGCCCACCTGCAGACGCTCTCCCCTCGCAAAGCAGAGACTCCCAAGCGAATCGGTCCCCCATGTGAGGGCGGACGGTCTAATGCTGCATGAGCAAGTATGTAAAAGGCAGAACAGGACTAATGATTCATTGATATAACAAGCTTCCAAGCTCCACGAGTACACGAGTACACCAAAAATACAATTTAGAGGGCTTGCATTGAGAGTAAATGAGGTGCATCTATAATTTATTCTCACTTACTGGCCCTAATCAGGCCCAACAAGAAAAATTCATTTTGAAGCATTGTGTGAGAACTGTGTTGTAAACAGAATAAACAACCAAAGGACGAATATTCCTTACTCGCTTCCAGTCCCATCTCTCTTCGAACTTGCACCTCGATTTCTGCGTTCACCATTCTATCAAAAAAAATTCCATAACCATTAATTAGTATATCATAATGAATTAACCATAATTAGTGAGCTCTGTAAAGGAAGTCATGAGCTCAAAATTTAACAACAGCATCGATGTTACAGGCATCTCTTAAAATAATGGTTTTTACAACCTCTCTTTAGTAAATAAGGGGCTTGACATAAGGGAGGTGAATAAGGTACACCAAAAGGGGATGCGCCCTTCTCTGAGGGGGCTGACGCGTCAGGAAATGGTACCTCGGCCTCCCTCCTCCTGTGCTCCTTCTTGCCCACGCTGCTTCGGCGCTTCTCCTCGTCCACATGGAAGCCTTCTTTATGGCGTTTTTCTTTATGCCTTTCTTCCCCTTCCTTGTCAGAGAATGAATTGCTTTTTTCTTTTGAATACTTCTCTCTTTTCTCCCTTGTGCTGCTTTTTTCTCGATGTTTCTTTTCTCTGTCTGGCTCTTTCTGCTTCCTGTGTCGTCTTTCACCTTCTTCTTTATAGAGCCAATACTTGAGAGGATTGTCTTTGCTGTCACCATACTGCAACTTTGGACGTGACATTGAAAAACACATGAGCGTATAAAACAGACGCCTGCTGTCTTATATACACATTACAGCAAACACAGGGGAAGACACAGAGCTCCCCTGGCTCTCGCTCCCCTGTCCTGCCACGGGCACCTTCCCATACTCACCTGGCGATGGGAAAGGAAACCACGCAGACTACACACACACACACACACACACACACACACACACACACGACAACAGACACCGCAGCCAGCAGCCTCACCCTAAGGAGGAGCATCGTCCCAATTCCTCTGCATGGCGGACACCCTTGCCCTTCCTGCCGCCCTCTCCTCGACTCCCCCGCGTCCTGAGCGCTACCAACACGCAAGGCCCTCCTGAGAGAGCCATGTAACTTGTCTGGAAGGACATCCGCTTTCGTGGGTGCACATTGCGCCTCTCTTCATGGCACACAGCTCACATGTCTGCCCCCACCCGCAGGGAGATGGTTCAGCCATCCCTGCATCCCCCAAGCCTCCAGGGATGTCCAGGGACCACGGGTGCCGAGGCCACAAGGCAGCGATCTGCGAGCTTACACAGTGGGTCATGAGCGCCGGGTTCGGGGAGCATCACTACCATGTCTCAGCAGGACCCAAACTGAACCGTCCTTCTCCGTTCACTCAGGGCCTCCTCCGCCTCTGTTCCCCGTGGTTCCATCCCCTCCAGCCCCCACCCGCTCTGCTCATGGCCACCAGGATAACCTTCCCAAAGAGAGACATGGAGAGGCTCCTCAGGTGTGAAGTTAGATTCCTGCACACCCATCACAGACTGAATTTGAAGGGAATTAAAGATTTACCGTTAAAAAATTATGAGGACCCAGAACAAAACACAGGCGACTCCTTACATGACACCAGCGTGGGGAAGAGGGCTCTCCAAGCATCACAACAACAACAGAAATAAGGAAAGACAGACCTGACTACTTCATAACTTTAAACTCACTTATAAAAATAACAACTGCACAGTAAAACAAACAGAACACTGACATATATAACTAGCAGAGAGCTCATCTTTAAAGTACTCTTAAAGTTAACAATACACCCCACTAGACAAGTATGCAGACGTACGCAGGTAGTAACTAATAATAGGACAATAAACCCTTTTATAAAATGCCCTTTGGGGACTTCCCTGGTGGTCCAGTGGATAAGACTCTGTGCTCCCAATGCAGGGGGCCCAGGTTCGATCCCTGGTCGGGGAAATAGATCTCACATGCATGCCGCAACTAAGAGTTACATGCCACAACTAAGGAGCCAGCGAGCCACAGCTAAGGAGCCTACCTGCCGCAACTAAGACCCAGCACAACCAAATAAATAAAAAAATAAAAATAAGTATTTTTTTAAAATACCCTCTGCTTCTGAATCAAATTAGCAAATGTTAAAAATTATGATAATGCCCACTTGCTGCTTAGGACATGGGGAATCACACTCTGATGTATGAACAATTACAGTCTAACGTAAAACAAATGGGGTAACACTTACTTTGATCTAGCAAGTTCACTTCCAGAAATTAATCATAAGGAAATAATTATGAATAAACGCAAGAAGTTTATACCATGGATGTCTTTACAATGCCAAAAAAATTTAGAAGCAACGTAAGTATCCAAAAAAAAGCAGATGTGTCCAGAAAACATCATTGAATACTGTATTATGCAGGTGTTAAAATACTATAGACAGACGTGACAGCTCAGAAAAATGCTCCAAGTGCATCAGGACAGTTACAAAACAGTAAAAATCCAACGTAAGGAAATAAAGCTTCTATGCACATATCCAAACACATACACTTATATGAATATATGTACATAAACCTACAGACAGACGTGACAGCTCAGGAAAAATGCTCCAAGTGCATCAGAACAGTTACAAAACAGTAAAAATCCAACTTAAGAAAATAAAACTTCTATGTACATATCCAAACACATACACTTATATGAATATATGTACATAAACCTATAGGGCATATATCTAAACATTATCAGTAATTATCTCTGTTTTTTATTTTTTCTCTTATTATTATTTGCATTTTGTAAATTTTCCAAGATAACCAAGGTTTACTCTTGGAATTGGAGAAACACACTTGCCTGTGAGAACTTAGTGCCTGAGAACTGTCTTAGGTCTTAGATTCCGTTTTACAGTATTTTTCAGAAGCCCTCTAACGCCTGTGCCTGAGCGCCCTGAGCTTTGCAGCTGGAGCCCCTCCCAGGCCTCGCCCTGCATACCTTTCTTTCTCGGTATCTCCTTTCTCTCTCCTCATCTCCTCTCTCAGAGTCTTCATCTCTCCGTTCCCCCTCTGCAATTCTTGCTTTACTTACTACAAAAATAAAACGGACTTTTAACATTCTCAAACTTTAGCACAGCAAAAATATCTTCTAACATCCTGCTGCAGTCTTTACTGTAGATATCACAGTAACACATACGAAAACATATTCTTTAATTAAAACACATTCTCCAATCTCAAGAATGGAAAGTTCTAGAATCTAAACTTAAAATGGAATAAAGAAGGAAACCTGGAAAGCATGTCAGAAGAACGCCTGGGAACCCGAGAGGGGCCCCGGCCCAAACACAGGCCTTTGGAGCTCCTGCCCTGGACTGAGATGCTCAGGGAAGCAAAGTCCAGTCCAGCTGGGCAGACTGCTTCATTCATCTGCAGGCAAAAGCCGGCTTCGGATGACTGGGGGACTGCCCCACGCCCCGGGTCTCCCACAGCCCTGCTGCCTGGGGCACATGGATGCAGGAGGCCCTGTGATGCAAGTGGGTGCACCCATCCCACCCCATGATCTCTCCCTGCCATGGGGGAACCCAACAGAGCCACCTCAGTCACTGGTGACGCCTGCAGCCCCGTTCAGTAGTGAAAAACTAGACTTTCATTTTTGAATTTGCACCAAGTTATTAGGCTTAAAACTAAAAGAATCCACATTTTTAAAGGTGAGGACAAAATTCAACATACAGAGATCATCGAAACAAAGTTCATTCACTCCAGAAGTATTCACCAGGGGCTTCCCTGGTGGTGCAGTGGTTAAGAATATGCCTGCCAATGCAGGGGACACCGGTTCGAGCCCTGGTCCAGAAAGATC